TTATGCGAAATGGGACAGTGCTTAGTCCTTATGCAAATGGGGAGGCAAGGATTAGCCTCATGCAAATATCGAGGCATGGATTGGCCTCATGCAGGTATGGAGTCAAGGATTAGACTCATGCAAATAGGGAGACAGTGATTAGCCTCATGCGGGTATGAAGACAAGGATTAGACTCATGCGAATAAGGAGGCAGGGATTAGCCTCATGCAGGTATGGAGTCAAGGATTAGACTCATGCAAATAAGGAGGCAGGGATTAGCCTCATGCAGGTATGGAGTCAAGGATTATACTCATGCAAATATCGAGGCAGAGATTAGCCTCACGAAGGTAAGGAGTCAAGGATTAGACTCATGCAAATAGGGAGGTAGGGATTAGTTTCACGTAGGTAAGGAGTCAAGGATTAGACTCATGCAAATAAGGATGCAGGGATTAGCCTCATGTAGGTATGGAGTCAAGGATTAGACTCATGCAAATAGGGAGACACGGATTAGCCTCACGCAGGTAGGGAGGCAATGATTAGCCTCATGAAAAGAGCATGTAGCAAATAAGAGTAGTATATGTCTTTGCTGGAGATATATTCGGTGCTTGATGGCCTGATTGATAATGATCTTGCTATGTGGATGTTATCGTTATGTCGGATGTGCCTACGTTCAAAGAAGAATTGTAAGTTTTGTGAAGGGGAGGTTGGTTTGTGTTTTTGTTGGCTGGCTTTGCTTTGCTATGTTCTAAACGCCTTTCGAGTTCCCCTAGGTGACACCTGACTGCTATGAAAATAGAGTTTTCGAAAATATGCAATTTGAAAATAAATAAAGTTATTTCAGAAATATATTGATACATTTAGATGAACTAGTGACTATAACACATCTCAAAGGCATTACAGCTCTCTTATATCTGAATTTTGAGGGTCCTCCTCAAAATTCTGCCCCAGTTTGATGGGTGATCTTTTGACTGTTTGCGAATAACAGGCCTTGTTGAATCTTCTTCAGAATTTTGAGAATCCTTCTCAAAATTCTACCCCAGTTTCTTAACTGATTGTTGACTGTCTGACATATGTTTTCGTTGGCTGGACTTGCTCCGGAATTTTGAGAACCCTCCTCAAAATTCTGCCCCAGTTTCTGATCTTGGGGGAAATGAAAATTTTATTATGATATGACCGAACCCATAGGGTTGCGTATGTATCCCATCTTAAATGGGAATCAGGTCAAGCGTAGTTCAATTACATCATAAGGGAAATGTAAATAATCTAGGCATAGTATCTCTTGACTGCGTCTGAATTGATTTGCTTTGGCCAGAGTTATCCGTCCATTTATGCAAGTACGAGTGCCCCTCCTGTTAGTACGCTGTGAACCATGTACGAACCTTGCCAGTTAGGAGAGAATTTCCCTTTGGCTTCATCTTGATGCAGGAAGATTTTCTTCAATACCAGCTGCCCTGGTGTGAATTGTCTTGGTTTAACTCTTTTGTTGAAAGCTCTAGACATTTTGTTCTGGTAAAGTTGGCCATGACATACTGCGTTCATCCTCTTTCCATCGATAAGGGCCAATTGTTCATAGCGACTCCTTATCCACTCTGCATCACTGAGTTCAGCTTCCTATATGATTCTTAAAGAAGGAATTTCCACCTCGGTTGTGAGTACAACCTCGGTACCATAAACTAGCATGTAGGGATTTGCCCCGGTTGATGTGCGAACTGTGGTGCAGTACCCCAATAGAGCAAATGGTAACTTCTCATGCCATTGTTTGTGGTTCTCTACCATTTTCCTTAGTATCCTCCATTCATCTGAGGTCTGTAGGCTGTGGAATTTTTGTGCTTGATTTTGAAAGTTTCACACATAGCTTTCATCATATCACTGTTGAAATTGGTGTAATTATCAGTGACAATGGACTCGGGGACTCCGAATCGGTAGATAATACGATCTTTGACAAAATTTGCGATGACTTTCTTGGTTACAGCTTTGTAAGATGCAGCCTCTACCCATTTTGTGAAGTAATCAATGGCTACCAGAATAAACCTGTGTCTGTTTGAAGCAGTGGGCTCAATCGGACCAATAACATCCATTCCCCAGGCAGCGAATGGTCAAGGTGAGCTTGTTGCATTGAGCTTATTCGGCGGCACTTTTATCATATCGGCATGCACTTGGCATTGAAAGCATTTGTGGACGTATTGAATGCAATCTGTCTCCATGGTCATCCAAAAGTAACCTGCACTGAGTATCTTCTTAGCCAAGACGAAACCATTCATGTGTGTGTCGCAGGTCCTGGCATGTACGTCCTCAAGTAGCTTAGAAGCTTCCTTTGCGTCGACACATCTTAGCAATCCCAAATAGGGGGTTTTTCTATACAGATTTCCTCCATTGTGGAAGAAGTGATTGGACAATCTCCGGAGTGTGCGTTTCTGAGTGTGGTTCACATGATCCGTATATTCTCCTTTCGATAAGTACTCTTTGATGTCATAAAACCAAGACTTTACATCTGTTTCTTCTTCAACATGAGCATAGTATGCCGACTGATTATGGATCCTCACGGAATGAGATCAATGTAATTCTTATCTGGATGTTCTATCATAGATGGCAAAGTGGCTAATGTATCAGCAAACTCATTCTGAACTCTGGGCACATGTCGAAATTTTATCTTTGTGAACCTCTTTCCCAATTCCTGCACATGGTGCAGATATGGCAATATCTTGGAATTTTTGGTGGCCCACTCTCCTTGTATCTGGTGCACAAGCAAATCTGACTCACTAATTACCAGCAACTCCTGAATGTTCATGTCGACTGCCATGTTGAGCCCTATTATGCATGCTTCATATTCTGCCATGTTGTTGGTCCAGGAAAATCTCAGTTTGGAATATCCCGGATAATGTTGACCCGATTCTGATACCAAAACTGCTCCTATGCCCACTCCTTTGAAATTTGCAGTTCTGTCAAAGAACATCCTCCAACCATCGTATGCTTCAGTAATGTCTTCTCATATGAATGATACGTCTTCATCAGGAAAATATGTTTTTAAGGGTTCATATTCTCCTCCCAATAGATTTTCAGCAAGGTGATCTACCAATGCTTGTCCTTTGACCTCCTTTTGAGTTACGTAGACGATATCGAACTCACTTAGTAGTATCTACCACTTAGCCAACATCCGGGTCGGCATGGGTTTCTGGAATATATACTTTAGAGGGTCCATCCTGGATATGAGATATGTAGTGTAGGCGCAGAAGTAGTGCCTCAATTTCTGAGTTGTCCAGGTCAAAGCACAACAAGTGTGTTCAAGCAGAGAATACCGTGCTTCATAAGGTGTGAACTTCTTACTCAAGTAATATATGGCTTGCTCCTTCCTTCCCGTCTCGTCATATTGTCCCAAAACACATCCTAAGGCTTCATCCAACACAGATAGATAAAGTAGAAAAGGTCGTCCTGGTTCTGGCAGGACCAGAACTGGTGGTGTGGACATGTACCCCTTGATTTTGTCAAAAGCTTTCTGACAATACTATGTCCAACTTGTTTCAGCATCCTTCTTCAGCATCTTGAAGATGAGTTCACATATGACTGTGGACTGTGCTATGAGGCGACTGATATAGTTGAGACGTCCTAGGAAGCTCATCACGCCCTTTTTGCTCTTATGCGGTGGCAACTCCTGAATAGCCTTGACTTTAGATGGATCTAGCTCGATCCCTCGACGATTGACAATGAATCTCAATAACTTTCCTGCGGGAACCTAGAATGCACACTTTGCGGGGTTCAGTTTCAAATTGTACCTCCTTAGTTTGTCAAAGAACTTTCCCAGGTTGGCTACGTGATCTGCGGCCTTCTTGGATTTGATAATGACATTGTCCACACACACCTTTATTTCCTTGTGTATCATATCATGGAAGATGGTTATCATGGCTCTCATGTAAGTGGCCCCAGCATTCTTCAGGCCGAATGGCATCATCTTGTAATAGTATACACCCCACGGTGTGATAAAAGCTGTCTTCTCTACATCTTCTTCATTCATCCAAATCTGGTGGTAACCCGCGAAGCAATCTACAAAGTGTCACACCTCCTTTTTCATCTATACCCCGCAAAGGGCATGAAGGAGTTTTTTCAATTAAAGGACAATTGGAACGGGATTTAATTATTAATTATTCAGAGTCGCCACTTGGGAGATTAATGGTGTCCCAAGTCACCGATTGAATCCCGAACCGAGGAAATTTATGACTCTGTTAACAGTCCGCGAACCAAAAATCCGAGTAAGGAATTCTGTTAACCCGAGAGAAGGTGTTAGGCATTCCCGGGCTCCGTGGTTCTAGCACGGTCGCTTAACTGTTGTATTTAATTTTATCTGATCTTAATACATGCTAGCTTATGTGCTTTTATAATTATTTTTAAAAGAATTGCAACGTCGTGAATATGCGTTTCGAACCGCGCCGCAATCAATGCGCCCGTGGTTGTCAACACACTTCAACTTCGTTGATATTGGGATTTGGGCCACATCAATGCGCACCCGAATATAGGAAGGTAAATTAATTTAAATAGCGCGCCTAAAGCAACTACGCACTTTCAAGTTTGCGAGGGGCATGGAAAATTCAACTAATAGCACTCCTCGATTTCTAAAGGGCTAAAATTAATTAAGTGAGGGCCACGAGTTTTGGAATTTTATTTGGCACGACACGCCTCACATTCACCAATAAATTATCCCATTTATCCATTTTTTCTATATTAATCTACAAAAAAAAGAGAAATTGTGAACTAGCACAAATATAACAAAGTGAATCAATTCATTCAAGGCTACTATGTATAGTTGGAATTGTAAGCTACGATTTCAGGCAGACAACGAGAATGAAGTGGTGCTTCATTTTAATTTTGAAGCCCATGACATGAAGGCAACCAAGTATACCAATGATTTGAAAAGCACCACCAAATCTTGTGAATACAATATTCAAAGGTTATTGGGTTAACTAAAGGGATTAAGTAATATATATATATATATATATACACACGGTTGACATGCTTTGTCTCCAGTAATATAGTTAGCTAAGATACAGGACCCTATGCAACATTCATTCCGTTTGGAGTTGGCTTCCAAGATATGTTTTTACAATAAAGATGCAAGAGCTATGTCATCCATGGTTCACGCCAAACTAACAACTGTAACATCAAGTTTCCTCCCTTTTCTCAGCTAATTAAAGTCTATTCAGCAACAACATATAGTCGTAGACAGTTCTGAAAAGAGAAACAAATGGATGCACTATCTATGCAAACAAATATACCGGAGCAGATGAAAACAACAATGTAATTATTTGCAAAATCGAAATTCACACTAGCCAGCAACCACAAAACAAAGTACAGGACAATAGGTACATTTCTACATACCTATAGTAGAGAACATCAGGATTTTTGACCCAGGTAAAGGCCCGATTTGAACCGAAACTGCCACGAATTGAAATTTTGCCTTTGATTAATGAGAATTCCAACAGTTACAAGGGTGTCAATAAACCAAAGCCCCAATCGAATCCAAAACAGCGATCAAAATCATCCGAAGCTGCGAACCACCATTCCGAACCTCGACAAACAATGACGACCCACGACCTTGAACCAACCAGAATGCAAAACAACTTTCAAACACAAATGAATTCCATGAATTTGAAACCAAAAATCGAATCGAAATCAAAGAGAAAGAAAATCAGCAGAGGAGAAGTGTGTGTGTTTTGTTGCTCTAGATCTGCTCATTTTGAGTATAACGGTGAAACTTTTGAGAAGCTCGCCATCAATGGGGATTTACCGACGATTATGGTGGTGGGACGGCTGGTGTGGTCGTTGTCGCTGGGGCGTTGTGTGTGCGTTTGTGTTCCGGGTGATGTGTGAGGTAATGGAGATGATAGAGTATGGCTGGTTAAGGCTTGCGTGAAGGTGAGTTCAAAGAAGCAGAAGCTTCAGGGAGGGTCGTTTGGAGAAGACGAAGTTAGGGGGTGGGTCATTCTGTGCGCAGCTTTTCTTAGCTTTCTTTTTTTCTCTATGCGCAGCTTTTTCTGTTGCTTTTTGTCGTTCTCCTCCCTCTCTATTTGTGTTGATCCCCCCTTTAATTTTAGGCTTTGTTTAATATATATAGGTCTAGGTTAGTGGTAGGGTTTTAGGTTAAGGGGTATGTGCCTAGGAATTATGGGCTTGGCAATTGTGGGCTAGGCCCAAAATTAGGCCTAAAGATGGGTTGCTCGAGCTCAAGCTCTATTCTTTTGCCGCGAATGAGATTAAAAATACGCGTCCATTTGCTAATTATTCCTATTATTCAAATAATTATTAAAATAAAACTAACCATTAAAACAAATCTATTTTTGGTATTTTCAAAATATCACATTAAAATAAAAATACGATACTATTGTTGTATATATTTTTAAGATTTTTTTTTATTAAAAATGACTACAAAACATTAATGAACCTATTATTATTATTATTATTATTTGTTGTAATTTTTTTTTCTTGTACTAAAATAAAGTAAAAGAGTCAAAATTATTTAAAATATCTATATAATGCCTAAACTAAATACTTTACGCTAATATATAAAAGATCTTGGGGAGGGTCAAAAATCACATGTCTACAGCTGCCCCTCTTTGACTGGAAACGTACAGAGTTTTCAGACAAAGACTGACTAGACAGGTTTTTTGACACGACCCTTATTTGGAGAGGCTAAGACTAAGAGAGAAGGGAGTGTGACCGAGCTCTGGCATTTGAGCTGCCTACATATTCTTGGCTATAAAGGAATCAGGCCACGTGTAGTTCAGAAATGAGTGAGGTGATGGAGTATGCCGAGGTAGAGATCTGGTCGAGGTGCCGTTCCGTCGAGGTTCCAGTTTGCGGTCCCTGTTATTACATCAAAAATCAAAAGATGAAAAAGACTAGCTAAGCCTATCGACTATGAGCTACAAGATTCCTATCTATAAGTCTTCTGAAGCTTGATCTTGAGTCTTGAATGGTTCTTCATGCAGACTTTAGATTTGAACCTTGACACTTGTTAGCTGCAGGTGCTAGCTCATTCTTCTACAGCTTTTGGGTCAGGACCGGTCATGTAGTGCTTGTGACCTCGGCTATGTCTTGAGCAGCTCACATCCTTCATCAACTTCTGAATTGCATTCTGAATTGCATTCCCTTTTTTCCTTTTCAGGTGGGCGTGTGATTGCTGAACCTGAATTGTCTTCCCTTGTTACTTGACACTATTTTCCCTTACACTTTGAACCATTTTCGCTGAAACTCGAACTGTCTTCCTTCGAAACTGTCTTCCCTAGAAACTTGAGTTGTTTTCCCTTGTTCTCCAGGTGAGCGCCCTATTTTCCAGGCGGGTTCCTGATTTCCGAAACTTTGTTCTTCAGGAGGGCTCCTAACTGCTGAACTCTGTTATACAGGCGGGCTCCTGATTTCCTAAACTTGAATTGTATGTCTCTATTCTCCAGGCGGATTCCTGACTTCTGAAATTTGAAATGTATTCCTCTATTATCCAGGCGGGCTCATAATTTCCAAAACTTGAATTGTATACCTCTGTTCTTCATGCGAGTTCCTGACTGCAAAAAGACAAACAAAGAAAACTTTCTGCTCCAGTTTGGCAAACTGGTTGTTTGTTACCACATACTAATAAGAACTAAAACTTGAATTGTGATGAGACTGAAATGCAACTTTTAAAAATTTAGAGACCGCAATGTATCTTAAAATTTAAACTTTATCTTAGGTGAAAAATTCATCAGACTAAGATTCTCTTCTCAGGTGAAAGATTCGACGGACTAAGATTTATCTTTATCTTAGGTGAAAAATTCATCAGACTAAG